GGATAGGAGCCTGTTCCAGCACAGGAACTAATCCGTAGAAAGAGGCTTCAAAGCACAAAGCGTCCCAGTCTGGTGGCCAGAGATGCACCACACAGCCCCCGGGGCCAGCCCACACGGGACATTGGCTGGGCCACACAGAGGGACGCAGAGCACTGGGGACGTGAGCAGACATGGAGAGAGGGCCGATGCCTCCTGTAAGCCTGGGCTGTGGATCAGAGGGACGCGAGGATGAAGGGGGGAGCGCCGGTTGGGAAAGAAGGACGAGGTCTAACACACATGGCATGTGAGTCGTCCCCCTCACCAGGGACCTGAGGTCAAAGCATAGCTGGCGTATGGGCCTCACACTTGAGGAAGGAGGGAGAAGAGGCGTCCTGGGTCCCGAGCACGGCAGAGGAAGAGCTGGCCAGGGGCTCACAGGCGGGACCCTGGACAAGGGGGGAGGCATCCACCCAGGAGGAGTGGCTAGAGGGGCGGGGAGATGTAAGGGGGGTGTCAGGAGGGTGGGCGTGCCCACAAAGGCCTAGGGTCCAGGAAGGGGTCGTGATGAGCTCCGGACAGTGCCTGTTGAGTTTAAGAACTGAGCCAGAGGGTGGGGACCTGGGGGAGAAGCTGGGGTGAGCTTTAGCCATGGGGGGGGGCAAAGGGCTCATCCACATGGAACAGGTGGGGTCCCTGCAGAAGTGAGAAAGGACAGGACTCAGGAGGATGGGGCAGGGGGCCAGGCCCACTCACAGGCACAGCAGGGAAGGGGGCACCTGCCAGCACCCCAGGGCCACACGCTGGCTGGCTTCAAGCCAACTCAGAAGGAGAAGAAACAACCAGTCCACCCAGCGCCCACCCCTCCTCCTGCCAGCCCTGGGGTCTCTGTGTCCCCACCACCACCTGCCCTCGTCTGGTCCAACCGGTGCCACAGGTCCAGGGAGCAGCCGGGAGGGACAGGCTGCTGGTGAACCTGTTTCCCAGGAATGTGGGTCTGGGGGGACCTAGGTGCCTGCCCCTGCACGTTGCAGGGCCCCCACCCGGTGACGTGGGGGCGGGGTGTTGACCGGCCAGATTCCCTCCCGTGGAGCGGCCAGACCGCAGCAGCTGGGGTGGGGGCTGAGACCAGACACCCAGGGTGCCCTGCCCCTCGCTCATGGGGAGGCCTCTTCAGAGACCACCCCCGACCTCATCATCACACAGCCCAGCAGCATGATGGTGGGGGCAGCGGCACCTCGACTCACACGGCTGGCTAATGGAGCCTGTGTCCAAGGCGCCCAGGTCTCCTGCCCCAACCTGACAGTCTGTCCACAAGGTGCTCTGGCCTCCCAGAGAACAGGGGGACAGCCCAGCAGGAATGTGCCCCCCGGAGCCTGGGGCAGGCCGAACCCCAGCCCCCCTGCACCTGTTGTGGCTGGATGAGGGGAAAGAGATGGGTGACAATGGGCAACCACCCCAGCAGGACCTCTGTACAGCCGGGGCGAGGGGCCCCTGTGTGCTGAGACAGGAGTCACCAGGGCCCTGGGGGTCAGGAAGTGGTCCCGGGAGGCGGCTGGTGCACCCCAAGGTACCCCTCTGGGCTTTGTGTTCAGAGGAGCAAGCCCAGGCCTGGGAACACAGTGCAGGAGGCGCAGGGTGAGTGACTTTGGGGACTCGGGAAATACATCGCTCCTGCTGAAAAGGTCATACTGACTTAGTGGGGTGCAGGGACTTTCAGGGGTTCCTCCTGCAGCCACAGCCCCCTTCTGACCGTGGCCCCTCCACCCATGCTCACGCTGGGTTCTCCAGACCTAGTACAAATGCGTCCCGAGGGCAGTGACCTCTCCTATTGAGTCTGGAGAGGAAGACTGATAAGGGAGTCTGGTTTCTCTCGCAGGCAGCCCGACTCCTGGCAGTGTCCCCAGGGCCTGCAGCGCCTCTGCCCGAGGCCGCGGTGGCTCCAGATATGCCGGGGACACGTCCAGGGGACAGCTCCTGCCCAGGTGCCTGGCCCAGCCCAGCCTCAGGCTGCCGCTACACACGCTTGTGAACGGATCCGGCTGCTCTCGCTGTCACAAGCGCCTGGCCAGTCCAGCCCAACTGCTTCAGACGCAGAGAAACTGAGGCCCAACCCCAAGGCCTCACAGCAAAGGCTACAGGAGCAGCTCCTGCCTGCTCTAGGGACGCGGGCCTCCCACTCCACTGCCCTGCCCTCTCCGTCCTCCTGGCACTCCCCCCGCCGCACCTCTGTCTTCCCACCATCGTGCAAGGCCAAAGGTACATGCGCCCAAAAGCGGATAACTCCATCAACTTTCTCCCTCTACATTCAGGGGATGTTGGTACACTGAGCATGACCCACCCCCTACATTTGCACCCAGCACTTCGAGATAGCAGGAAGCAGAAAGTTCCCTAAATCTCACTGATGGCAGAGGGGCAGGGTAACAGCAGCCCTAACTGGACCCCGCAGACTCGGGGTAGCCCAGGGGCCCAGCTCGAAGCCGACCCCTGTCGGTGACCAAGCCCCCATCGCGGGTCACACCCCATGAGCAGGGATGTGTACGTGGCTCCATGCGGCCCCATCGACCACCAGAAACTGGCGGGAAGCCCATGTCCGCACTCCCGAGATGGGGGCTGCGTGCAAAGTGGGGGCCCGCATGGCTGTCAGTTAAGGGGATGCTGACCCCCTGGATACCTGGGCCATCCTCCACCCACATGCTTCCCGCAGCCACAGCCCGCTGTCCCACCAAGTCTCTGCCCCCGTGCCCTAAGAAGCCGTAGTGTTCCTGCAACCCAGCCGCTTCCTCCCGGAGGGCTGCCCTCCTGACCTCTAAGACAGGGCTCCCGCTGGACTGCTGGGTACCTGACATCACCTCCACCCAAGGCTCCGGCCTCAACTTCTCCTTCTGTACAATTGCCCCGAAGACCTGGCCCACTTAGGGCTTCGGCTGCGGGCTCTGCCCTGGTACCTCCCCACCATCCAGCCTCCACCAGATCCAAGCCTCCGACCACTCTGGGGCTGCCCCTCGTGCTCAGCATGACCCAACCACAACCCAGCACCTCCAGCAGCTCCCCGGTGGACAGGCTCCTGCCTGCACCCAGACACCTCCTCACCTGGATGATCCCTCCCCAGGCAGCCGCAGGTCTCCATCCACCCAGCCCCACCCCAGGTCAGACTGTCTTCTCTCCCAGGGCCCCTCATGTACCCCAGCCTGGGTCCAGCCACCCTGCACCCTGCCATCCATCCTTGCGGGAGCTTGCAGGTGGCTATAAGGAGGACCCTGTTCCCCCCTGTCCAGCACCCTCACCCTCCCTCTCCACCCCATAACCAAGAGGACCAGCTCCCCTCAGGTGAGCATGGCCAATTCCCATGGAGATAGACGACTGGAGAGCCCCACGTATGAGCAAGTGTGTGCACATACATGTTTGTATACACATGACCCAGACATTATTCTTCTGAAACCTTGGGCAGCTGCTGCCACAAGCAGACAGGAGCACATGAACTCAACTTCAGAAACAGCTGATGACACAGTTTACCAGGCACGTGTGAGCTCACGGTGGTGACTTTACACCACAAACGCGTAGTGAGTTGTGTTCACAGGACAGAATTAAGCGTGTCTGTACATCCAGGACTTCACCCAGAGCACTGCCACCACCATGGGTTGAAGAATGTCTTGCCCCCCGGGTACCAAGTCCCCAGGTGGCCTTCACAATTCTCTCCCCTCCCCTCTCATTCAGTTTAGCTCTGTTGGGCCTGCACGCACGGCCCCCAGCCCACCTCCACCTGTGCCAGCAGCAGGAGACGGGGCTGGGACGCCCACTGGGAAGTGGCTCCCCCCTGGGGCCAGCTCCCACCCAGCATGGCCCCCTAGGGGCGGGAGCTCATCTGCTCCCCCTCCTCCTGGACCCGTGAGGGACAGCCCAGCCCACTCAGGAGATCTGAACTGAGGGACTAAACCAAGGGGGGGAGCAGGTGCAAACGAGTCACACCCAGACCCTGGAAACCCAACCCCAGAGCACATGCCTGAGCAGAGTGGAAAACCCCACCTAAGAGCCACTGCACACACCATGGAAACCTTCTCCCGACCTCTCCAGGGGGCCCCAGGCTCAGGGTAGTGCCCTGTCCAGCCGGCCTCCCCCACCCCCCCACCCCCGCGCGGGTCCTGACCCCAGGAAGCTAGAGATTGCCATCTCTCCTGACCCCTGCCGGCTCCCCAACGCAGTCGCTGGACCACATAGTGTCCTCCTGGCGACCCCCTCTCTCTCACACGCAGGGGGTACTGAGTTCTCAATCTGGGTTAATTAATAACGAGAGCCGTCAGGCCTCAGTGAAGCGGGGGTGCAGGTGGGGCAGTCGGGGGCTGCTGACCATTCCGACTGGTCAGGGGCCCTGCCTCAGCGCCATGGGGACAAACAGGAGAGGGAGACAGAACAGGGCCTGGCTCCAGAGAAAGGAGGGGGCCCGGGACAGGTGCAGCGGGCGCCCCGGCCCTCTCCTGCTGCGGGTGGGGGCCGGACCCCCGCAGCCCCCAGCCCAGAAGACCGGACGCGCCTGGGAGCCCGCACTGGAGGCGGAGGGGCGGCCCCGGGAGCGCAGCCCTCCCACATCCCCCCGCCCCCGCGCCCTCCCTCCCCGCCCCAGGCTCACCTGGCCACGGCCGGACAGCGAGAAGGTGGCGTGGCTGGCGAAGCGCGCGGAGCCCAGGCGGGGCGCGCGGCCGGGGGCGGCGGGCGCGGCCGGGGGGCTGTGCGTGCCGGGCGAGCCTGCGGCGGGGGCCTGCCCGGTCCCCAAGCCCAGCGCCTCCACCTGCCGCGTCAAGCGCTCGAGCTGCGACTGCAGCCGCTGGTTGTCGCGCTGCAGCTCGGCCACCGTGCGCGCCAGCGGGCCGGCCAGGCGCAGCGCCTCGGCCACGCGCCTCTCCACGCCGCGCTGCAGCCCCTGCATGTCCTCGTGCAGCGCGCGCACCGCGCCCTCCAGCGCCGCCTCGTAGCGGCCCAGCGCCTCTCGCACGGTGCGCGCCTCCTCGGCGTCGGGGCCGGGCTCCATGGCCCCGCGGGGCACGCGGGCCGAGCGCGGGTCTGCGGGGAGAGGACACCAGCGCCGCCGCTGCTCGGGGCTGCGACTGGCCGCCCCCGGCTGGGTTCGCGGGAGGGGCGGAGGGAGGCGCGGGCGGCCCGGGACTGGGCGCCGCGCGGGGGCGGGGCCGCGGGGCGGAGCCCGGGAGCGCAGGCCGCGAAGGGGAGCGGCGGAGGCGTGGATCCGGGAGCGCGGGCGCCGAGGTCCGCGGGGGCGCGGCCGCAGGGAGAGCTCCGGGTCCCCCAGCCCCCCTACCCGAGCCCGGGGCTGCAGCGTGCGGCCGGAGCCGGGGGCGGTCGCCCCACCGGAAGAAGGCCTCGACCCCAAGCGGACTTTACTCTGGAGACCAGTAATGCGGGTATGCATCCCCTGGGGGCTCTCAGCCCAAGGACCGGTCCCGCTGGGGGGTGGGGGGGAGGGGGACGGGACTCCACTGTTCGGGGAGCCCGACGGCAATAGCACTGCCCAGAACTGCCGCCTTCACTTTCGCCTGTCCTCCTGGGGGTCCTTTATCGGGAATCTCTTGCACCTGTTTTTAAGACCGAAGGGAGGAGAGACCCGTGTGAAGTCCCCTCGCAGCCCCACTCCGTAGCTCCATCTTTGTGTCCTTCTGGCCAGTGATCAGAAGAGGCTCCAGGCTCCCCAAGGGGCCCCTGGCGGAGGATCTGGTAGGGGATCCTGGACAGTCTGAGGTCAGGCACCGAGGAAAACAGGGTGCCCCTAGGGCTGAATCTCCCAATCCTGGGATGAGTGAGCTTTGGGTGATGGGCCCTATACCTCCATCAGAGTCTCCGTCCGGAGACTGTATCCACCGGCCTGTAATCCCACCTCTATTCCCTCTCAACACTCCTTTCTTTCCTAAACCCAGATATCCCCTCTTCCAACCGCTCCCTTCCCGGCATGCCTCACAAAAGAGGGAAGAATGGAAACAACTGTTTCTTCAGGAGGACAGGATGATGAGCAAAGATACTGAGTTTCCCTATAATTGTAATCTGTTTTAAAATAAAAATGGGAGGGGATCCCTGGGTGGCTCAGCGGTTTAGCACCTGCCTTTGGTCCAGGGTGCCATCCTGGAGTACAGGGATCGAGTCCCACGTCGGGCTCCTGGCATGGAGCCTGCTTCTCCCTCCTCCTGTGTCTCTGCCTCTCTCTCTCTATGTCTATCATGAAAAAGAAATAGATAAATAAATCTTTTAATAAAATAAAATAAAAATGGGAACATCCTATCTTTTTCTCCCCAAACCTTCCCTGACTAGCCTTCTCCCTACCGGGCCAGGCCCACCCAAAGGAGGCCCAGTGGCTGGGCAGGCCCAGCTAGATGCCTGAGGGACAAGAGGTCCCGAAGGGCTTGTGTTTTCCAAGCACAGACCCCATGGACTGGCCCACACTGCCCCCAAGGAGCTGGATCAGCCCAACAGATGCTGAGCGCCCCCCCACCCCCACCGTGGAGACAGGAAGGAACGCTGGGTTACCTAATCAAAGGAGCCTTCCAGCAATTATTTCATAAGAAAGTCAAGTGCCAAAAGGCGTGCATGTTTCATGAGCGTGAGTATGTGTGAGTGTGTGTGTGTGAGCGTGTATTCCAAGTAGCCGTCTACACGGGGTGAACCAAACTGCTCCCTGCACGCGGAGAGGCGGGGAGAGCCCCACGCTCTGCACGGCCGGGCAGGTCTGAGCACCTGGGCCGGAGGTTCAGAGACCCGGCCTCATTCCCGCCTTTCGCAGGACCCACGGGAGAACCACGCGGAGAAGTCCCAGGAGGCACTAGACAGCTGACCCCTGGCTCCCCGGCTCAAGTGCACCTGGGCCACCTGGCATGCACGGGGGTGGGCCCAGGCCCGACCGAGTCCAGCCTTTTCTCTCATTCCCCGGAGGGCAGGCTGGCCGGATCTCAGGTGGTGGACAGTAGGAACCAGCTGCCCGGGGTCCACCCATCCTCTCTCACCTCGGGTGAGTCACCCGCGGTCCCAATCCACCACCAGGGAAGTATTTGGGCGGGACCGGGCTCCCTCTGCCGCGGAAGTGGGGCTCCCTGTGGGTTCCACCCCCGGCGGCTCTCTGTCCGCAGTCGGACTCCTGAGTCAGTACAGCAGCTGGAGCTGAGGCCCGGGGAGGAGAGCTGTACCAGGAGCCTGAAGAGGAGGGGCGGGAGCCGGGAGAGACTGCAACGGGCGGGGGCGGGGCCAGCGGGGGCTCTGAGCGGTAAGGGTCCGCCCTCCGGCTCCGCCCAGGCGCCGGCCCCCCCCCGCCCCGCCCCCGCCCGGCCAGGCTCCCCCCAGCTCGGCGCCCCTCGGGCTCCGCCCCCGCCTAGCTCCGCCCCAGCCCGTCTAAGCTCCGCCCCGCCCGGGTCTACTCCCCGGCTCCGCCCCCACCTAGCTCCGCGCCCTCAGGCTCCGCCCCAGCTCCGCCCCGCCCCCAGAAGGCAGGCTCCGCCCCCGCCCGTACCAGCCTGCGAGGGAGCCCCGCTAAGGGGGCTGCGCACTCCCTCCAGGTTCACCCGTCCTGATGTCCGTGGGTGGGCGGGGCAGGCCGACCTCCCACCAGGTCCGGGGGACTCTGATGCTGTCTTCCAGTTCCTCCTCCGCTGGCTCTGACCCCTCCACTGCCTGCTGGGCGCTGCCTGGGCCCTTGCTCCAGGCTGGGAGAGGATGGGGGACACGCTGCCCACCCCCCACCCCTGGCCCCCCTTGCTTGTCCCTTCTCCAGATCAGATCCTTCCAGGCCAAAACCATCAAGTCAGGGAAGTTAGTCACAGACCTGAGATGAGGAGACTGAGGCCCCGGAAGGAAGAGGGACCAGCCCCCTGCCACAAAGCCAGTCACACAAAGTCAGGATGAGAATCCAGGCCCCATCCCCAGCATGTTGGTCCAACTGTCACACTCAGTTGGGTCTGTGCAGTGGCTCCTGTCCCGGGCCAGTTGAGGCTACTCTCCCCTGGAATTAGAGGGCTCCAGCCATCCCCCCATCCCCTGCACACCCTCCCTGAGTAGAATCACCCACCCCCACAGCCCTGCCCACCATCTCCACTTGTCCACCGCCTGCCCTCTCTCTAGACCCAGCAGCCTCCAGTCTTTGCCCTGAAGCTCCCACCCAGACTCCTCATTCCTGAGAACACAGGTCACATCAGGGTTACTGGGCGGGGAAAGGACACGGGGGATGGAGTGCTCAGACCTCCACACTCCTCTGCTGCCTGGCTGGTGCCACATCACGCCCTGAACCCTGGGTCCAGGTGCATGGGTGCCGGGTACATGCACACTCCTCACAGGCAGGGGCTCTGTTCTGGCCACTCACCTGTCGCCTCACCTGGAATGGCACCTAGCTTTAGAAAGTGCTCAGGAAACCCTGGGTGATTAAATGCCTGGGAAACAGGGGCTCACTGGTTGGCCTCGGGGGCCAGGGACTGTAGATGGGTAGACGCTGAGCAGAGGGAGGGAAGAGATGGTCAGGTCCCCAGGGGGGTGTGGGGTGCTGTTCGCTAAGATGCATTGGAGGGTGCATTCGAGGAATGGCAAGACCTGGGGACCCAGGGGTGCCGCACACAGCTAATCCCCAGGTCACCAGGGACCCCTCCAAGCCCCTCTGCCAAGAAGGGCTCAGTTGGAGGGGCATGGGCCCGGCCTGATTCATTATCTGTCAGGCCCGATGGCCCTGCCACACCGTCCATGCAGCCCTCAGCTTGCAGGGCAGCAAACGGGCCTGGCAATCCCGCTCTGTGACCCTGGGGGTGAAGAGTGCGGTAAAGCAGCCACACCCCATGCCCCCAGGACCCCAGCTAACAAGGACTCTGAGACATGCACTCTGGGCCTCGCCACCACTCCTCCCCCAGAAACCACTGCCTTGCTACGAGATCCACAGCAGTGGGGACACGAGCTTGTATGTACCCTGTCCTGCCAGGTGGCTGGGCTCCGGGGTCACGGGGAGAGCCAGGCATGGAGGTGGGGCCCTGGTGGAGGCTGTGCCCTGTGGCGGGGAGGTGGAGGGGGGCATGTGCCAGCGGGAAACAGCCCCACTGAGGCTGACCCCAGAGCCCTGCGGAAACTCCCGACCCCCTGGTCACTCCCACCAAACTTCAGACTTCATCATTCCATCCACAGGGGACACTCGCCCTAATGCACATAAGTGTGGGATGGTTGTCTTCTCCCCATGCATCTAAGGGCGTGTCTGTGCTTGCATCATGCTTGCGTGTACATCCATGTGGAGGAGTCACATGGGCGTTACAGAGTCTGTGGTACTTGCACATGTTCCTGCACATGCTCAATGTGTGTAGGGCACGTGTTCGTTTGCCGCACCTGTGTATGTCGGAGGGATCTCTATGCACCTGCTCGTGGGTGGTGAGCACATGTTAATACATGCGGGTATGTGCCAGCAGGACATGTGCCGACCTATACATCACGACATGTCCTGTGCCGCTGACACTACACACATGTGTGTCCGTGGGTGTTGCGTGTCCACACAGGCTTGCTGACATCTGAGTGTGTGTCACTATCTGTTCCTTGCTCACAGCCTATGCCCCATTTCTGGCGGGCCCACGCATGCACTCGGCCCCCAGGGGCACGGAGCCTGGGCGCTGTGGGCTGCTCTGCTGGCTCCTGCCCGTGAAGGGCTAAAGGGACTCTGGCTCTGAGCGGCTGGACACGGGGCAGAACTTCCCCCCGTCAGGGAGCTATGTTGGGCCTCCGGCCCTGGGGAGGAGCTTCCCGCCGCCCACTGTGGGGGTCCAGGCTGGCATGGAACGAGTGTGTGTCCTGGCGCAGAGTGACTTGGCGCCCTCAGAGCTGGGTGGGCGTGGAGACAGCCGCGTCCATCCCCGATATGGCCATCGGGCTCAAAGTATCCGTTTCCAGGAGCCTCAGCCCCAAGCCCCAGCCCCACAGCCTGGTAAGGTCTCCACTGGCTCCCCCGAGCCCTCTGCCTATGCACTGGGAATGGCAGCTCTGAGGCAGGGGAGCAGGGCTCAGGTCTGGGAAGAGCCCACATCCTGCCCTGGCTTGTCCTGTGCCCCCGGGCTCTGCGGGTGGTGGTGTCAGGGGCAGCCCAGCCCGGAGCCCCCACAGCCCGTATTCTGAGCCTCAGGCCTCCAGAAACCAGCCCAGTGATGGGACAAGGAGGGGGGCCCCTCCTTGCCCTGCTGACCCCCGCCATTCCGGCCCCGGGGGACCCAGCCACCCACAGGGCCAGCAGTTGTTGTTGGGGCTCCTTCTGCCCTGTCCCTACCCCACCCCCACCCGGAGGCCTGCCCCCCCCCCCAGCCCTGCTCAGCCTGCTACCCTCCCCCTCTGGGACTATTTATAGAGCCTGGGCTTGGAGCCTCCCGAGGACAGGAGCCAGAGGTCCAGGGCTCAGAGGCTCCTCACCTTCCTGCGCCCGTGGGCCAGGCAGTGTCTGCTTTCAGCCCAGGAAAGGCCCCAACCCAGGCACTGAGGGTGCAGGGAGGCCAAGCTTGTGGGGGTGCTGCCGGGCCCTCAAAAGCATCCCAGGGCCTAACGGGGGCTGAGTGTTCACGGGAGGCATCGGGGCCTGCCCACACCTCCTCACCACCCCACTGCAAGCCCCAGAGGCACTCTCCCTCTAACCCACCCCCCCACGGCCTCAGGGTGCCATTCACGGCTCTTCGCCAAATGTACAAAACCCACTTCTGCACCCAGGCCTGCCCTCGTCCCTCCACCTGAAGCATCCCTTCCACTAGCCCTTTTCCAGCAGACTCCCACCCATCCTTCATTCTTCAGGTCTTCAGAGCCTATCTGAAATGCCGCCTCTTCTGGGAAGCCCACCCTGATGAGGGCTCTCCTACTCACCTCCCCTCCCAGCCTTGTCGTGCCCTTTGGAATACATCTCTTTTCCCGTCCTGTCTCCATCCTCCAACAGGCAACTTATGTGTGTCTTGAGTAGTGATTCCTGTTTGGGGTGTAGGGCTGGGGGCTCCTGAAAGGGCAGGACCCTGCCTCGTTCATCCTCCTGCCCCCCGCAGTCATGAAAGAAGGGGTTGGAGCTGGACAGAGGGGCACACAGGCCAGTGACTGGACAGAAGCGGACAGAACGGGGACAGAATGGAGGCTAGAAAGACCCCTCCTGTGTGCCCTGAGCCCTGAGCAACGGCCCGGCGTCCCCGGGGTGGGAAGGCAGCAGGGGCAGCCCAGGCCAGGTCTCAGTGACACGGCTGGGTCCTGGGCAGCAGCCAGATCGGTCACCCTCATTCTTTCCAGATCAAAGTTCCCCCAGGGAACATCCTGGAACCTGACACTGGTGCAGGGGCTGAGCCAGCTGGCCATGTTCAGAAGGAGGGCGCAGAGCAGCAGGGCACCTGTCCCCAGCCCCAGGGAGGCCAGGCCACAGCCCAGGGAGGGGCAGACATGCACAGGCACCTGCTCCAGCTCCAGCCCCAGCCTCCCAGAGGGTCCCAGGACTCCAGGCCCCCAAGGTCTCCAGCCCCCCAAGGTCTCCAGCCCCCCAGGACTCCAGGCCCCCAAGGTCTCCAGCCCCCCAGGACTCCAGGCCCCCAGGGTCTTCAGGCCCCCAGGACTCCAGGCCCCCAGGGTCTTCAGGCCCTCAGGACTCCAGGCCCCCAGGGTCTCCAGTCCCCCAGGTCTCCAGGACTCCAGGCCCCCAGGGCCCTGTGACCTCTTGCTTGTCCCAGAGGTTCCCGCCACAGACCCCCACCTCCCAGGCGCACCCTCCCCTCAGCCCTCATGTCTCTGTGTTTCCGGAACAAGGGGCAACTGCAGGGTGGGAGAGCTGTGAGCCATGGCTTCTGGGGTCGAGTGGTTTCCACATTACTCCCCATCGTCCAGTGACAAGGGGAGAGGGCAGAGCCGTGTCTGCTGCCTCCCGGCCTCTGGAGCCCTC